TGGTTGAGGGTCCTAAGGTTCCTAGACGTTTTTGAAAGGTTTTGCAGGCGGCTATAGAGGGACTGGGAGTAATTATCCCGAGCCCGATGACCCGATGTACTTGAAGAAGTGGAATCAACACCAAACTAGATTGAAGTCTGGACTGGTTTAAAATTTGGACGGGGAGTATAAATATTCCCTAAACCCTAAACCTTAAACCCAAAATAATTCCGTAGCCCTTTAGAGGGAAGATGAGAAAGTCCCTTCGGTTTTGCGGCTTTGGCACTCGGGGTTGCAGCATTTGGGGCTCAAGGTTCGAGGTTCGGCTCAGCACGATGTACATATACCTGCACAAAGCAGGGAATATATCATTAGGGTGGCTACCAGCAGATACATTTTCAGTTGAAGAAATGATGACATAAACTACATGTGCATGCATCTGCACACACATCTTGCATACACCTGAAGAATGGTTGCTCTTGTTCACGCTTCTAGGTACATGAGGTTCTTTTTTGTCACTCGGGTCACCATATTCGTCGGCCGACGACAGGAAGTAGACAATAAACAGTAGTCAAAATCTGTCTATTTCAGGAGCACATAACGTGCCACAAGGCTTTGTTGCTGGATTGGAGTCCTACGATTTAGATTGATTCGGGGTTTTTGCGAAAGCGCTTCCACCAGGTGCACGCGGCAGCAAGACTACTACGATGCCTGCCTGCAAGCCACAGGGTTCCGGAGATGTGGGCTTTGAGGGTGTTTGGTTCTGAGGCTCAGGGACGATCGTGGGTTCGTGCTTGAAGCCCCAAACCCTGAACCTTAAACCCTGACGAAGCGACCTCCAATTCGAGGTTCCAGGTAAAAGGAGCCTAAACGCGAACCCCAGCTGGAAATTCCAAAGCCCCCAGCCCAAGACCTCGAGAGACTTGTAACTTAAACTTATGTGAGTTTGGGGTCCAATTGCAGTTATAGTTAGAACTCGGTCGTGCATGACCCAGAACCTGTTAGTACGGGAGCATCGATACCCGAAACCTGAATCGAACACCCCGTGGATCCCAACCTACATGTGCAATTTCCAACCCAAACCTTATCCTAAACCCTGAACCCTAAACCCTAAACCAGAGTGAATTCCTGAAACTGTAGACATTGTAAGACTAACCCCGCACACTAAGCCGCTCAACTCCTCACAGTGATACACCCCAACCCGTGAATCCCAAACCCTAGAAACGGTCGAGGATTTACTTTTAAGGGAAAGTCCCAACACGCCGCCAAAACCAGAGCCCTTGAAACCTCTGAGCAGTTGGGTAGTTCCCTAGATTAGGTCATACTGTTGATGAAATAAATCCTGCATTACCAGAAGGACCCGAAACTATGGAAATTATATGGTATTCCTTCTTATATAAGCCCTAAGCGCTATTATAAACCCTAGCCCAATAAGTAGAACCTATTCCTTAGTTCATGGGTACTGCAGGATTTATACCATGAACAGTAGGTCCAGGTCTGGGCAGGGTCAGCTAGGACAGGGCACACCAGCAGGGGGACCTCAGCGCCGCTTCTAGCATTTCGGGTTCAGGCTTTAGGGTTTCGGGTTTAGGGTTCAGGGTTTAGGGTTCAGGGTTTAGGATTTCGGGTTTAGGGTTCGGGGTTTAGGGTTCAGGGTTTAGGGTTCAGGGTTTAGGGTTCAGGGTTTGGGGTTTAGGGTTCAGGGTTTAGGGTCTAGGGAAAAGGGGGGTATATGGGTCGTTGTCCAAATTACGTC